CAGTTCCCCTCAGAAACACATTCATATAAACCCCCAAATCAATATTGAGGATTTTCTTCCAATAGTTCATGCATCATGAACAGTGAGTGATCTGCCTGCTACAGTATTTTTCTCTTTGTGTCCGTCTTCAGCGTCTCTGGCCTATGTTAACAGGTGTTTACAGTCTTCATATTTTTACATAAATTACATTTTGGAAAATTATTGCATTGCAACGCATTTTGTGCAAGTCCAGAACAGAGACAAGCTGCAATAAGACAAAAAAACGGCTGGTTGCCGATCGCATAAATTCCAGGGGAAGCTCCTTCGGCCGTCATACACACACGTGACTGACTGCTCGCTCGCACCAACAGGAGGAGGAGGGTTGTGTTACTCTCTACACTGCACTCAACCTGAAGGGATTCCTACACTTTCAGTCTTTGAGGAGACATGAAAAACAGCGCATACCGCATGAACGGTATAACGGAAAATATTAGCGGTTTTGAAACCGTGAAATTTTCAAATCGCGTTATACCTTGAAACCGGTAATCGGCCCATGCCTAGTCAAGAACAACGGTTTCATCTAAAAATCTTCTTTACTGTTTTGCTGAAGAAAAAAAAGTCACATCTCAGATGACTTGAGGGTGAGTCAATTAACAGCAATTTTTTGTTTTTGGGTGAACTATCCCTTTAAGTATTAGTAAGCATATTCTACTTATAATCAAATGACAAACGTACTAGTGGAAGCTTATAACTACCATTCTAGATCATCATATGATTAATTTTTTTCTCTGTTTAAAGCAGCTAAAGCATTGGTTTCCTTAACCTCATTTGATCACAAGCAGACCTCACCTGTCCTCTTTGTTGATCTGATCTCCAAAGCCTACAGTGTTGACCACAGTGAGCTTGAGACGAACGTTGCTCTCCTGCAGCTCGTAAGTCTTGGATTTGAGCTGAACTCCAGGCTGATTGTGCTGTGTAGGTTCACCCTCAAATTTGGTGTTGAACAGGGTGTCCATGAGGGTGGACTTTCCCAAACCAGTCTCGCCTGGAAGAAACACAGCAATAAGCTACCAGGCTCTTAATTTAAGCCTTTAAAAATATGACTATGTCCATACACAATTCTTAATTATTTTTTCTATAAAGGCGTATAGGATATTTTAAATAATTAAATAAAGTTTGCTATATTATAGTTGTCTTTGCATAATAGACAGGAATAGAGGGACTTTTTAGCATCAAAATTATACACATCAGCTTTAATACAAAAGTGCGCTATTTTGCTGATGCCTACACTTCAGATTTTAACCTGCATAATCTGTGTGTAAAAGTCTAAAAGCCATGCAGCAATCCTGGCTCAGTCTGCCTAAAGATCCTATTCTTGCTTTCCTGACAACCACAAGCGCAGTAGAAATGGACATCATGCAACACCACCAGAATGTTAATTATATGGATGGCTCACATTTGCCATTTCTTCATAAACTCAGCCTGCAGATCCCATTCCCACAGGCCCCTCACTACAGGCATGAGCAAAAAGCCTTGTCTGACACCTAAAAATAAAGCAGCGATTTTCTACTGTGACTATCACAAAGTATGAAAATCCTGAAACTGAATTAAAGGTAACGCAGGCATCACACACTGATAATCACATAACTCAATCAAAGATGATGGTTGGTTATATGAATCATAAGCATCTCATCTCTTCTCCAGATAATTACGGCGTGATATTTACAGCATGCCAAAGCACTCAGCATTCACTAAACCTGAAGTATTGAAGCTGAACCTGCATATGAATGATCAGGAATGAAGAGAGGAGAGAGAGAGGCCTGCTAGACAACAGTCCCTTGCCATTTGCCAAATTCCCTTTACACTAGTTTCTAGAGTTCTGTCATTACCTCCTTAGAGCTTTAGCAGAAATGGGATAAAAGCCCTGGAAGATGCCCTGAGCTTTAAGGGATGCTAACAAAGAATCTGAAACAATGCTGCCTTCATATAAATAATTCAAAAGGCAAAGTGAATAACAAAAGCATGAAGACTTCATAGTACCACAGGCACAAGATTTAGCTAGAATTTTACTTGGGTTATTGGCATAAGGCCTCTTAGTGAGGGGACAGCATCATATGCCTGATTCACAGTTTGCCATAAACATTTCCTCATAGCATACTGTTGACTTTACAAACAATTTTCAATATTATTAAAGCTGTAGTCCGTAACTTTTTTGTGTTCAAAATTTATATAATAAGCAAGTACACCTTGAATCCATTTTCCAAACCGTGTTTTTGGCTTGTCTTGAATCACCACGGTACACCTATAATAAGTGTTTATATTCGCACTATTTTAGACTGGTTTGGGTAGGTACCGCTGCGGAGTAGCCCAGTACTTGCGTGATTCGTCATAGACCTAAACAGAAAGAAGTAGCTCCGGCTACAATGTTCTTCTGCAAGACGCATGCAGTTCTGTTTATTAACCGCTAGAGCGCCAAAAGTTACGGACCGCAGCTTTAAATACTGACTGCTGCATCACGCTGTTGTTTTTGTAAGACAAGATGATCAAGAACCTAATGATAAATACATTTAATTAAAAACATATAATTATTTTTATTTTCTCTTGCAGTCCACATCAAACATAATTTTACATATGTAACTTATATCTACTATAAATGTAAATTAAAACATAAGCAAACATGCACAAATAATACACTACAGTGTTGATTTTAAATACTGTACATTTATTTAACATTCTAATTACATTTTGTGTTTATCTATTAAGCAGACACAAATGACTTGCACTGCATTTAAAATATACATTTTATCAATTCATGCATTCCCTAGTAATCATACTGGTGTTGTTATAGCACCTTTTAACCTACAGAAACACTTTTTTCCTGATATGTTACCAGTTAAAATAGTAAGCTATTCTAGGAATTGTAACTGACATACAGGTATAGGCCAGATGACGTCACTCACCCGCTAATAAAAACAAGGGTGAACCTGCACACTGCTTCAGTTGGACTCTGCCTTGTGGCGTTTAAGCATACGTCTGGCCTCCTCTACCCACTTTTGATTACTCAAAATGCATTGCTGCTTTGTGTGAACATCACCCTCTTTGTTATACATTTTAGAACAACTACAACTTTACAACTCAACATTAAACAACACTGAACTGAAATACACACACCAGCGCTAGTCCAAACTTACTCAACAGTAAACACCTCCTGGAATCAAGAGGCGAATTCAGATGGCACAGTCTCTCTGCCAAACCAACACACATGCACACACTTTGACTGACTCCCACAACATTTTCATCATCACATAATAACATACAGGGACAGATTTGATGACACAGGCTAGCCTATTTCCCCTAGAAGGTGTGTTTGTATTATATTTTACTGACCACCAGGTCAAATAACATACAAAACAGCATCGTCTGAAAGATTATTTCCCCTATTTTTGTTAAGTGTTTTAGAGAGTAAGAACAGATAAAGTCTGACCAGTTAGCAAACCACACATGAAATCAGGGTATGAAACCGAATCGCGAGTTCCTGCAACTGCTCTCCATTAGTGCACCAGTAATTAGTAAGTGGGTCACAGGACAGAATCGGTATGCGTTCACAGTGAAGGGGTGTGACATACACCGAAGCAAATGGTTAGTTTCGCCCCAAGGAAAAAAGGAGCTCCCGCATGACACACTCACCCACGCAGAGAATATTGAAGCAGAAGCCATGGTTGACGGACTTGTTGACCAGCTGGTCCGGCATGCTGTCGAAGCCAACATGACCAGAGAGTGGGACGCCACGTGCACCTTCTCCCTAAGATGAAATAAAAGCAAACCATATGAATGAAACAAGCATGATGACTTCCACCAAAAAAGATCATTTGCACGGTTTCTCACTCTCAGCAATGAAAAGTCTTTGCAAGCACCTTAATTTATGAGGATGCAAAGAGAAACATTGTCAACTCAGTGAGTAAAAGTACATAAACATGCACCTCATTGTAAGATCTTTAACATAAGTTGTAATACTATGGTACAGATCTCAAAGGTTCAGATCTGTGCACTTCCTCTTTCCTGTCTGATCTCAACTGTCGAAACCACATTCAGGCAAACAGACACGTAAACCTTTTTGCAGTCGCAGACAAATGTTACCGTTATCAAGTAACGCAGATACCTATGAAGCAAAGCGGTTGTAAACAACATAAAACAAATATCAAATTTAGGCCATATTATTCTTCAGCACTTCCTCTACCATTGTTCACACAGGTCTGCCACCTGGCCTGCCAAAACTCTGGCAGGAAAGGCTTTCTGCCCACATTTACAGCATATCCTTTGGTGTGTGGGTGTTTGCATATGTGTGACCTATGCGATGAGCCGAGCGAACATGCCAAATCATTCGATTTCTGCTAAAATAATAAAAAATGAAGAGTGAGCATTCAATCAGCACAGGTCTAATGTGATAAAGTTCCATTATCCAAATGGAAACATTAAGTTAAACTGCAATATACGGTAATCAAAAGTGCATCCATTTCAGTGAGAACCAATCAACGCAGATGATCAGTTCTGTTATGAGGATTACTGAGGAATAACACCAACCATAAAATGCACATTTCATTAACTACAAAACAGGCAACTAGGAGAAGTCAGACTGTGAGAGCATCTTATTGACTGAACAAACAGTCACAATCTGACCCACATGTGCAACATTCCCAAACCAGACAACTGTAAGGAGTCCAAAGGGGGTCATCAGGACTGAAACACAACACTGGCTGCTCTGTAACCAGAACATACTGGATCAAACCCTTGGTTTGAGTAGTAAAGACTGATGTAGACGTCATTTATGATATCTAACAGATTTTGAGCTCAGACTCGAGTCTGCTGCCTCATGTTTGTTAGCTACGTATTCACATTAGAGACCTCAGAATGAACAGAACACAAGTTGCTACAAAATGCATCTGAAATTGTTTTATACGCCGGTTTCTGACATTAATGTACGAAATACTTAATGAAAGACAACGCCCAGCGTGCTGAGAGGGGACACAAGGATGCTAATGCAATTAAATATAACGGTTAACGTTATTTGTTAGACGCACTCGAATTAAATGGATTTTACAATACAATGACGCTCGATAATGTGACTGTTTATTTTTTAATCGTGGTTTCTGAAAACACATCAGTCGTAACGTTGGTCACTTCAACCCGTGATGTTCACCCGTTATTGTTGGCCCTCAACATTAAGCCATTTCCCTCAAAACAGCTGCATGGATATAGCTGTATAATTTAGAAATTTACGAATTAATGTGCTTATATATTCAAATGGTGTACACAAACAATAACAGACGTTTAGATACTGTATAATTAATCAGCTTGTTGATAATGGGCCATCACATTCACGAATAAATTAAAATCGAAACCTATTTGATTCTACAATATGTCACACCCGCTAAAATATCTGGCACCAATCGCCAGTCTAGTTTGGTAAACCGAAAGCACAGTTTTGTAATAAAACAGTGCTCTTACCGCTTGTCGAGCTATCTCAGTGGCCGCCATGGCTCTCTCCTGCATCAAGCCTTCACAGGAAACTGCAGCGCGCACGAAAAGCGAAGCTACAGCGCCGAACTCAGATACGATGGACTGTACCATTCATGACTGATGCCATGGCGGCTTCTGTTATTTTTGTAATTGCACAGTTTTAAAATATAATTATACACGAATTAACCTATATCCGAAATACACATCATTTGATAGTTACAAGACTCAAAACTGTCTGATAATCAAAATATCGTAATCACAATCAATATGACCCCCATTCATTAAATGTTATAGTCCTCTTCGTCTTCAGCTCAACCGCTAAATTTCTACAGGTCTAACAACCACGGTAAAGGATGCTGAATGGCGCAAACGTGTCAGAATATGTTTTAAATATTCAAGATTTCAATATGTTACGATTATAAAGCAAATATGCAAAGTAGGTCTACTAACTTAAATGTTTAATAGTAATATTCCAAAGCCCGTTTAAACACAATTTAATATCATTATAATATTCAAATGTCATCGCCTAGCGTTTTTATGCATAGGCATTTGACTCAGTTACATTACATATGTTAAATATTATATTTGAATATTTCTGAATATTATATTTGTATGTTGCTGGAAGGTGATTTATTTGAAAACTGGCGTAACCTTTCATAAGTACCTTCTTCATATTAAATCATATTGAATTAAAGCAGGGTTGAGTTTGCAAAAAAAAAAAAAAAATCTTTTGCCTTCTTTTCTCGGTTCCATCAGCCAATGAACAGTTGCAAGTGTCGTGGGTTTGAAGACGTGTTGATTTAGTCAGTGGTATTTGAACTTTAGACTTTATCGAGGGGAGGGTTTGGACGTCGGAAATGGCCACTGTGAGGAAAACACACTCGAATAGTTTCGGTTAGCTCACAGAAAATAGTTTCTGCTTCTCAGAAAGGAGAAACTGAGAGAAACCAAGCTTCCAAAGGTTTGTGGAGCCCTATAACCCACAGGAAATTATTTGGTTGAGACTAGACGACTTGAATTATAGGGACGAGGGAAGAATAGCCTGCTTTGAAGAGCTGTGCGGACAACAGGTGATACGGCACCCGGATGGATTACCTGAGAGACAGGTAGGCCTATTCATTCACATTCATAAATAAAACGTACAATTCTCGTAAAACATTATGAGAGCATGAAAATAATGACGTTCGATGTAATTTGCACCTTTCAGACATGAATCAGACGTAAATCAACTGCATTTATGAAAACGTAAAAGGCAAAACTACGGGCTTAAAGAGTGAAAGATTAAAAAATAAAATTGTGATAATGTAAAATAGTAGTGTGAATGTTTTGTTTTAAAAGCAAATGTAAAAAGAGGAACACGAATGAGGAAGAAGCGCGTTTCTTTCCCCAGGGAGAAAACTAAATGAGTCATGCTTAAATGTTGTTTTCCTCTTAAAAATATATAAATATTATTAATCTTTAATGTACACATAATATATTCCTTTTCCCCACACAGATTTGAACATTTTATAGCCTAGAGAAGTGACTATAAGGAGGATGGTTTTCTCTGGTTATGTAAGCCTCTTCAATTTGGATCTTATCTAAGAATAAATCACTTCCTAGGGATCCGCCAGTATGTATGAGGGGCCCATCAGCTCTGAGGAACATTTTAATGACCCTATGGGAGAAGCAGCACTGCCCTCAGAAGAGCCAATAGACTCAGACTGTGAAGCTTCAGGCAACAATTTAAGTAATAGGCCTACAGATTCCCCTAAAAGCAGGCTAACAAGCCAGTTCCGCTCAAATCTTGAGGAGCGATTGTCAAGACATGGGCCTCGACCCGTGTCTCCTGCTTTTAGCGCCTCCTCGCGCAGATCCAGATTTCAGAGACAGCTGGAGGAATCGGGCAGCAGCGCCTCCCGCAGACTGTCAGTGGACGCGTCGGAGAAGGGCTCCCTCACACCCGCTATGCGAAAGAAGTATTTGAAAGAGTTGTTTTTGAATAATAAATCTGGATTGTCAAGCATTTTATCATCCAAACACAAATCGTCAGAGGAGGAGGAGGCTCCGTATGGCGACACTTTGAACAGCGGTGCGCTCTGGGCTTTGGATCCTATGGAGCACGCCTGGATGCTTTCAGTTGTGGATGGAAATTATGACACTATGCTCGAATTTCTCGTTGAAGATCCCAGTTTATTGAGCAGAAAAGACTTTATCAGTGGTTTTACGGCTATCCACTGGTTGGCCAAAAATGGAAAGGATGAGACACTGATTCAGCTTCTCAGGCATGCAGAAAAAGAGGGGCTGTCAGTGAATGTAAACTTGAGAGGCAGTGGAGGTCTGACGCCTCTTCATGTAGCAGCCATGCATAACCAGTACACGGTCGTGAAGGCTTTGGTTGGTGCATTCAGTGCTAATATAGATGTCATGGACTACAGTGGGAAAAGAGCATGGCAGTATCTCAAAGACAACGCACCGAGAGAAATGAAGGAGCTTCTGGGAGCTTGGGATGATGAACATTCTGTAGAGTACTTGAATGTGAATAACAGTGCGAGTCAAGCTCAACCAGCTGAGGAACATACTCAAGAAAGTAGAGTTGAGGTGGACAGTTCAGGAGGAATCACACGCCAGCGATTCTCATCATTTAAGAGGCTGTTATACAATGTTGGTCTGCTTGAAAAGATCTGAGACTTTACCAAAATCATGTCTTCAGGTCATTATTGTTATACACTTGAAATGTGCTCCTTTATGAGTAATAAAACTTGTATGTTTAATAATGTGGCAATTGCTTAACCTTGTAACAGTGCTGGGTGTTATATGATTAATCTTTTTAATAAACCAAGCTGCAAGGAACATCTCACCAGTATTTTGTATATATATATATATATATATATACACACACACACACACACCGTACTCTATTTTAATTAATTTTACTAATAAATAAGGCTTAAATTATTTGAATAATTATTATATAGAATATGGAAACAACATTTACTTTACAAAAAGTTAAAAAATTAAGTGAGTTTGATTAAAACAACAAATAGCTGCCAAATGGGCTGAGGAAAAAAAAAACTTACTTTGGAAAACAATTTTTCATATCCCATTAACATTTGCTCTTGCTAATCAACTCCATTGTTAAATTAATCACAATACACCTGAAGTTAAATATCCAGGTCAAGTAATTGGATGATTCAATAGTTGAAAAACAGAAATACTGTAAAACAAACATTTTTTTTTTTGCAGTCGCACTTGGGTGACCTTATGAATTTAATACTTTTTGCTTGAAATTAACCTATTTAAGGTTATATAAGGTTTATATATATATATATATATATACACACATACAGGTGCATCTCAATAAATTAGAATGTCATGGAAAAGTTCATTTATTTCAGTAATTCAACTCAAATTGTGAAACTCGTGTATTAAATAAATTCAGTGCACACGGCTTAACAAGAGGAATACGACAACTGTAGCCAAATTCCTTGACACGTCTGTGTGTGGTGGCTCTTGATGCCTTGACCCCAGCCTCAGTCCGTTCCTTGTGAAGTTCACTCAAATTCTTGAATCGATTTTGCTTGACAATCCTCATAAGGCTGCGGTTCTCTCGGTTGGTTGTGCATCTTTTTCTTCCACACTTTTTCCTTCCACTCAACTTTCTGTTAACATGCTTGGATACAGCACTCTGTGAACAGCCAGCTTCTTTGGCAATGAATGTTTGTGGCTTACCCTCCTTGTGAAGGGTGTCAATGATTTTCTTCTGGACAACTGTCAGATCAGCAGTCTTCCCCATGATTGTGTAGCCTAGTGAACCAAACTGAGAGACCATCTTGAAGGCTCAGGAAACCTTTGCAGGTGTTTTGAGTTGATTAGCTGATTGGCATGTCACCATATTCTAATTTGTTGAGATAGTGAATTGGTGGGTTTTTGTTAAATGTGAGCCAAAATCATCACAATTAAAAGAACCAAAGACTTAAAACTATTTCAGTTTTATTCTATTTCAGAAGCTACGAGAATACATTTTTGCACAAACAAAAATAACGACTTTATTCCACATTTTCATCTCTACACACTTTCGCTCTCTACTTCAGAATACCCTCATATTTCATACAAAATATCTTAAATTGTGTTCCTTAGATGAACGAAGGTCTTACGGGTTTGGAACAACACGTGCGAGTAATTAATGACAGAACTTTCATTTTTGGGTGAACTAACCCTTTAAACTGGTTGTTCCATTTCTGAGAATTAGCATTAAAGCTCAGTGAAAGCCAGTAAAAGTTTATTACTACCAAATCTATTTTTTTTTGTGCACAAAACGTTGCAAATGCAGCCACTGGAAAATGTCAACTTTGGCATTTGCCATTTTCACAAAAGAGGAGAATACGAATACTTCTGGTTCGATGACAAATCTTTTATTGTTCAGCAAGGACATCTGTACAAAAGAGAGACTGCTGTTCCAGATAGCATGGCTTCTCTCCAGCTCTGGACGAGTTGGTGGTCCTGGCAGGGAACAGACGGAGGGGGAAGCTGAAGTAAACCGTGTGTTTACAAGCCCAGCTTGGTCCTTCTCCAGTGTCTCCTCTTGGAGTTGTATCTGCAAAGAAATTTGCCAAGATAAAGCATCACAGAGGCAAACACACATTGAAATCAAATTACACTACACTCTAGGCTTCTGTAGTAAAATGCATTGCACAACAACTACCAATAGTGCAGCCAAGAAAATCATGAATAAGAGGGTTTACAATGATACAAAATAACCCATCAAACAAATGTCAGTATAATCTCTCAACAAAACGTAGTGGAATAAACACCAGGTATATCACTTTAATGCATTGTTAACATTACAGCAGCAATGCACTTCCTCAGTGTAAAAAAAATACACAATTATAATCCAAAGAAATGTCTCCACAACAGAGCATTCACATGTCATATGGGACATGACAGTATTCATGACTCCAGAGCAGAAGGATGCTCTCAGCAGGATAATGGCAGTACTCCCACAAAATTTAGCACTGTAATTGCGTCCTGCCTTTGTTGGCTACTATGAACTACAGAACCAGAAACAAGGACTACTAGCACTTTGGCAATGTAG